CAGCCACTCCTCGGAAGGAAGGTTGGGCAATCCTACTTCCGTAGTGATACTGCCTCGGAAACCCAAGGAGGGGTCGCTATGAGTCGGGGCCGACTCGTCGGCAAACAACAACAACAACAACAGAGAGTGGACCCAAGATAATTATTTGACCCATGCTGCATTTGGCAACTGTGGCTATAAATAACTTGCCTTCCCTTTATGTTGGAATCCACAGAGAAAACAATGAAAAGCCACCCTCCATGAACATGAATTAACCATTAATTTCGTGAAAATGCAAAAGTAGGTTACTTTTCTTGCATTCAGTACACGGGTAAGAGGTTAAAAAGAAGAAGATGGGGAGTGCATTTTAAGAGGGCAATGGAGAAAACAAACCCCATTACCTGGACACAGGTCATTCCCCTGAAGACTTGTTGTTATGTGCCATGGAGTCAGACCCGACTCATAGCGACCCCTCCTTGGGTTTCTGAGGCAGTATCACTACGGAAGTAGATTGCCCAACCTTCCTCCTGAGGAGTGGCTAGTGGGTTTGAACCTTAGCCAATAAGCTACCAGAGCTCCCCCCATACTGAAGACTAGGACAGTGTATATAATGCACACAAATTCCAGCTTCCTTACTAGCTTTGGCTTTGACCCATAATCTCATCTTTTTTTTTTTTTTTAATTGTGCTTTGGGTGAAAGTTTACAGAGTAAGTTGGCTTCCCATTCAACAATTCATACACATTTTGATCATTGACATTGATTGCAGTCCCCACAATGTGTCAGCACTCTTCCCATTTCCTTCCTCCCTGTGTTTCCGATTTCCCTTTTCTTTCTTTCTTATCCCTTCCTGTCTTCTGAGCTTTTTCCCTGGGCAAATGCTGCCCTTTTGATCTCATCTGCGTGATCTTTCGAAGTAGTGCTACCTCCCTTTTGTTATTGTTCACCTTACAGGCCTGTAAAGAAGGCCTGTTCAGATGAAAGTTGAGCCACGAGGGTGAGTTCAGTTACAGGCTTGAAGGGTGTCTAAGACTGGGGTTCAGGTGGTCCATTAAGCTTTTGGCATAATTTCATCGTTCTAAAAGAAAGGAGCCAGATCTCAGATTCCTTAAGAAACCTCCTAATTATTTACTGAGTCGGGGCCGACTCATAGCGACCCCTCCTTGGGTTTCCGAGGCAGTATCACTACGGAAGTAGGATTGCCCAACCTTCCTCGACGGCACACAACAACAACAACAATTATTTACTGCTTCAGATAAATTGATACTAGGAGAGGTAATTGAACAGGGCACCTCAAAAGACTAATTTCAGTTTTACTATTATCAAAGAAGAAGCTCTGGTGGCGTAATGCCTAAGGTATTTGAGTGCTAACCAGAAGGTTGGCCATTCAAACCCACCAGCCACTCCGCAAAAGGAAGATGGGGCAATCTACTTCCATAAAGTATTTACCACCTCAGAAACCCAATGGGGGTCGCTATGAGTCGGAATTGACTCAATGGCAGTGAGTTTGTTTCTTTATTATCAAAGAAAAAATTAAATAAAAAAATTTTTCTTGTCATTTATCTTTTCTATCTTGACACCTCCTGCAGTGGAGAAGGAAGATCTGCCTTCCCAAGGAGAGAGAGATTATTTCCTTGTTCTTCCTGATTTTGAAACTTATAAATAGGACTGCACTTTAAGGAATACATGATATTTTTGTTGACACTGATCAAATAAACTTTTGGATTGTTGTTATTATGTGCCGTCAAGTCAGACCCGACTCATAGTGACCCCTCCTTGGGTTTCCAAGGCAGTATCACTACGGAAGTAGATTGCCCAACCTCCCTTCCGAGGAGTGGCTGGTGGGTTTGAACCACCAGCCTTCTGGTTAGCAGTCAAATGCCGTAGGCACTGTGCCACCAGAGCTCTCTGCTGATGCACTGGCAGAGCTAAAAGAGCTTTATAACACTTGCCTGATCAGGGCAGAGGTCAAGCCCAGAGGCTGAGGGCCAAAGAGAGGAGTGCCTGAGGGCATGGCAGAGGGGAGGCTGCCCTGATCCAAAAACTGTATCCGTTATTTCCCTAATAAAGCACTTAATCGTGAGTACAGTCTGTGAGTTGTGTGGCCATTGCAAGAAATTATCGAACCCAGCAGAGAAGTAGAGCGCTGTGGGAGGGACAGACAGTTGGTGTCAGAATTAGTAAAAGGTTGGAGGGTGGTGACAGGTCTGACTTCCGCCTTATGGGAATCAGCTTTGAACTGTTGCTGTTGATCTTTCTTTTGCCCCATCTTGAATTCAGAGGAGGTTACAGGATTCCGCCCTCGCACCCTTTTTGCAATACCCAATAGAATTGACAGCAGTGACTCAAACAGATACTTTCACACCAACATTCATTGCAGCATTATTCACAATAGCCAAAAGGTGGAAACAACCCAAACACACAACAGAAGACTGGATAAACAAAATGTGGCATACAACTACAATGGGGTATTATTCAGCCATAAAGACAAATGAAGTTCTGACAAATGCTGCAACATTGCTTAATGGGTACAGAGTTTCCTTTTAGGGTGATGAAAAAGTTTTGGAAATAGATTAATGGTGAGGGATGCTCAACCTGGTGAATGTAATTCATGTCGCTGAATGGTACACTTAAAAATGGTTTTAGAAAAAGAGTGAGTGCAAGTCCAGAAAGATTTTTTTTTAAAATACGATTCAAAATAACGGAAGGACTCTCTATAGAGATCCTTCCAAAGTAGAATGCATCCCTCTCCTTTTCCTTCCTCCTTCAGTCAACATTTATTGAATGCCAACCACTCATTGGCTAGTGTTCTAGGCATAGACAGCAATCCCTGCCCTCTTGGAGCTTACATTTCAATGGGGGAATAGAGAAAGTAAAATACAATAGCACAAAAAACCATAATAACTAAGTAAATTACACAGCGTGTTAGAAGGCGACAAAAAAGAGCAGGTTAACGGGGGTCAGGAATGGGGATATTGCAGATTTAAAACGGCGCTCATGATAAGAATCTTTGAGCAAGTGCGGGTCAGCAGATTGAGGCAGGTAAAACTCAGAATTGAGGGGAAGAGTGATGGTCATGCTTTACTTCTACCTTGTGGGTTTTCAGTTTACGAAGCTGTATCAATCAGGGGACGCTGGAGGAGCTGTTGCAGACTTTGGAAAAAACGATGAGTTCCGTTTTGGCCAGTTCGACGTGCCAGAGGACCACTCACACGGAAATAAATGTCCCGCGGGTAGTTAGAAATAACAGTTAAGGCGAGTCATTTGAGATAGAAATATCAATTCCGAATCCCTGAAATATACAGCGGTGGGAATGAGTGAGTGGGTGAGTAAGGAAGCTAGCTCGCCAGAGGAGAGCAGAGTGAAAAGAGGTCAAGGAGAGCACACCGCACTATTGAATGTCTATATTTTTAGGGGATGAAGAAAAAAAAATCGAGGAAGGGGAGTCCATTTTATTCTGGTCATTTAGAGAGAGAAAAAGAATGAGACACAACTGTGTCGCTAGCATGCTGTTTTTTTCTTTCTCTGTCATTTCTTCCTGAACATAAGCTCATTCTCTTTTTGACAACACCGCTGCCACATTTCACCCCCAAAAGGCGTCAATGTTTTTCAAAGACCTTTTGCACCCCCGCCTGCCAAGTGCTGGTTGTCAGGTACACGCCGTCTGCCTCCACGCTTTGACACCCTCGCCTCTTCCCACAGTGCGGGTTCCTAGAGGGCTGAAGCACAATAAAGACTTACAGAAAGATGAAGAAAAAGGACACAGCTTCAGGGGGAAAAGACCCAAACAAAAAGCAGCGAAGGGGAATGGCCTATTAAGTTTGCAGTATATCTGCCCCTCTCTTCCAGTAGCATAGTGGCTAAAGCACTTGACTGCTAACCAGAAGGCTGGCGGTTCAAACCCACCAGCCACTCCTCGGAAGGAAGGTTGGGCAATCCT